TCTGCCTCACTGTTAGCAAGTGGGAGAAGTGTTTTCTTGTGCGGCGTCTTCCCGCAAATTGCGTCAAGAATCGCTGGGCGAGTTCTTGCCATGAGTCAATACAGCCCTCGGGCAATCGGTTGAACCATTCGTAAGCTGGCCCCTCTAGGGTGGAGAGGAACCAACGGCACAAATATTCATCTGATGCCCCCACCATCATCATGCTGTTTTGATACCTGCTGTAGTGCTCTTAGGGGTCAGTCTTTCCGTCATAGGGCTTGATGAGCTGCCCTCGGTATTTCTCCGGGATCCGGGCCGCCAATACCCTTGGGGTAAATGGCGTCCGGGTCCGGAGCTGTATGGTGGGTTCCCCGGAGCCCTCGGCTATCTTCTTCTGCATTTCTTCCATCTTCGCCATCATCGCCTTATACTTGAGGTCTGTATGAGGGGCGGAAGTGGTGGTGTGGGCTTTGGTGGCCTCCATCTCGTCAAGCCGCCGCTGGAGGGCCACAATGATTTCGTCCCGGGGGTCCTTTCTTGAGGGCCTCTGCCCCCTGCGAATGGACCCGGGCCGAGTGGGCTTGATTGATTTGATGGCGTGCGTCGTCGGCATGGAGAGGTGCCTTGCCCTTGTCCTGAGGGGAACGTCTCTCATTGGCCCTGGAAACGGAACCGCCACTTTCCTGAGGCCTTTGGAACGCCCTTCCCCCGAGGCGGTCTTGGACCCCTCGGCGGTCTTGCGCCCCTCCGAGCCTCTCGAGGGCGGAGGTCCGGGGGTGCTCCTTGTTCACGTCGTGGCGGTCCCGGGACTGGACTTCCTGGGAGGCCGTATCTTGGACCACGACCCCCTCGAAGTTCCCCATCCGGAGGACCGGGTTACCGAGGGGTCGTGGATGAGGGGGAGACATAATGTTCTCCCCAACCTGAGGCTGGTGGGGGACCAAAGTGCCGAAGGCACCCGGGTTCTGAGTGAGCGTCTGGATGAAGGCGGAGAGCGCCGATTGAACGTCGATGGTGATGACCGGGGGGCTAATTTGATTTTCGCTCCGGTCCTTTTTCTTGGCCTCGATGCCGAGGCGAGCATCGGGGGCATTTTGCTGGATCTGCTGGCGTAGGTCGACAGCCGTCTGGTCTATCCCGACGATGACACCGCCCCCGGGAGCCCTGTTGGAGGCTTCGGGGACGTCGACCTCGCCGAGGGCCAAGTTCCTGTCCTCTACATTCTTGGACTTGGCACGAGTTGTTCTCACCATTTTAGATGGGTGTTTTTGTGTTTGGTCGAGGGGGAGGGTTTCTTACTTGATTGTTCGACCTCTCAATGAAAGCACCAAATGATGGATAGTGTACCCGGGGGGTAGCTTATCCGAGGGGTTATTACGGGGAATAATAAGAGAGAAGTCAGAGCAAGTAAGTATAGAGAGAGAAAATATATTTAGAAAGTATGCAGCGTTTATGACTTGGTTACAAATGGGAAAATGGGGTGCTATTTATAGTAGCAATAAATGCCGGACAGGGACACGTGTCAAGCGTCCATTGGCCGAGAGGTCACCTCAACTGGTTGGCGCTGGCAACCGCATGTGGCCGCATTTTTGCGGCTGTTGGATGGGACGTTGTACAGGGTACGGTGATCTGTACGCATGTGGCGCGGATATCATGTCGGGGAAGGTGCCCTCGGCTGTAGAGGACTAGCCGAGGGCTCTGAGTACCGGGGACCCCCTTGGTGCCGAGGGCTCCAGGTGCCGAGGGCTACTGATTTTCGCCGTTTTCCCAGTAACTTTGTTTTGCTGTGTTGGCCCTCCTCTGAGAGTTAGAGCCTTCGGCCAGGGGGCCGAAGGCACCCTTGATGCGCATTGTGGGCTGCTTGGTACTCTGGGCCTGTTGGGCCTTGATTGGAGTAGTAGGAGTCTGTGGGCCGAGGGTTCCCGGGCCATATACTCCATCACCAGTCGGGAGCGGATCTGGTAGGTTCCCGAGACCAGAGTCTCAAACTCTAGTCGAGAGCTCACAGCTATTTAGGTTAAGTATGTAAAAAAGAACACCTTTGATTGAAATCAGCTATTTAGTATTTACATCAAATTATCTTGATCATAATTCCGACCATTAATTCATTTGTTTGTGATATTTCTTTTTTCATCTATAACAATCTTTCTTTCTCAAATTTTCGAAGGAATCTATTTTTGCTTTCTATGTTATCATAATTTTAATTCTTTTATACTTTCTTAGGTTTTACTCTTTTCATTTTTTAAAAAAAGGGTTTACTCTTTGCATTACTCGATAAGGGTATGTTTTTAAAAAAACGTCATTTTCACCTTTTGTCTTAAAAAAAATCAAAAAAGTGTTTTCAAAAGACAACTTTTATTTAAATTAATTATTAAACATTTAAAAGCTAAAAGCTATAATCTGTTTTTATTTTTTCTATTGCACAAAAAATACATATTTATTTACCAAACACTACCAACTTTTACTTTTCAAAATCAATTTTTTCTGAAACACTATCTACTTTTATTATTAAGCACTTTTTCCAAAATCACTTTAAAAAGTGTTTTTTAAGCAAAAGCTATTGCAAAACACCCCTAAATATTCCATTTAGACGTTCTCATATCGTGGGCGAGATGATTATTAATTATTGAATCATACTTTAGAAATAAAACAATAATTATCTTTTTGAGAAACTTAACTATCTTGTACTCCTGTTATCTTAAATAAACTTACTTTTACATTTTAATTAGTGTCACTATTATGTAATTATATGTAACTAGTATTTATCTATTTATTTTCATTGTTGAAAGCCAATGAAGGAAACATCTCTAAGTCAAATGGATGAATGGATCCACCTACTGATTTTTATGTGATCTTATCCACATACATGTGACCTAATTTAAGCTCCTGGCCGGCTAGTTTATTTGAAATTAGAAAAAAGAATCAGTACTTTAAATTGCTAACAGGGGAGAAAATAAATGCTCATCTGCCGCTTTTCATGACAATGACTCATCAACTATTTTTTCTTGAAACTTTTCTATTGTTTGGAACTAATTCTAATTCTGCTTCATTTTTAAAGCAGAAGCAGAATCAGAATTAGTTTTCAGAAGCTGGTCACCCCCAACTTCTAAAAAAACTGATTCTAGGAGTAAATTAGAGCACCAGAATCACTTCTGCACTTTCACCCAAACACCCCAACTTCTGCTTCTGCTCTCTGCAGGAGCAGAAGCAGTTTTAAGAATCAGATCCAAACACCCCCATAAAATAGAGTAGATTAATGAAAATGTTTATCCTTTAAGAAGTTCTTAATTTTTTAAAATAATAAAATTGAAAAAGCAATTAGGTCGAAAGTTGGCGCATCCAAAATAAAGAGGTCGATATTAATTAATATAGACAAGCTTTAAGGAGAGAAAAAATAAAATTAATTTAGTTCAGTTTCATGTTTAGTATTGTTGTTTTATGTTTTCTTCGTCAACATAAAGTAATTATTTCATTTAAACCAATATAATCTATAAAACTCATTTAAACCAATAATTACGTTGCAATATTTATGAGGTAATTACCTAAATGGGAGTAAATACACCTTTAATTGCCAAAATAGGACTAAAGTTTAGAAATTCCCAAAATAGGAGTTATTAATTGTAATTGAACAAAAACACCCCTGAAGCTTGGAAAATCGTATTGCCACCGACAGAACTCCGGACCGCCTCAGGTTGCCGGCCGCCGCTGACGGCCACTGCTGCAGAATGGTCGCCGCTGCATATCTGCCTGCGTCCGCCGCAAATTTGGCTTTGTCCGCCGCAGATCTGGCCGCCGACACCATAGATCAGGCCACCGCCACCAGCCCCCGGCCGCCCCTACAGATTTGGCCGCTGCCACTACAAATCCGACCTCCGCCAATGCACACCCGGCCTCCACCGTTGCAGATCCGGCCAACGATGCCGATTATGCCAACATTTTATCAAAATGCCATCATAAATTGAGAATGGCATCTAAATGGCATTTTCAAAGGAAAACATGATTTTTTTGAAGAGGATGAATGCCATTTTTATGGCATTTTCAAACGAGATATGGAATTTTTTAACAACCAAATATGAAACAAAGCTTTGGTCATGCAACGAAAAGATGAATAAGAGATACTATTGTAATGACATTTTCAAAGGAAAATACAAAATTTTTGTAAAATAAGAATGCCATTTTGATGGCATTTTCAGTGTTGAACTTGATATTTTTTACCAATCAAAGAAGAAATCGAGCATCTGCAACGAAATAGAAGAGGGAGAGAACTGGAGAAGAGGGGAGGAAGGAGAGATCCTACCTTCGAAGAAGAAAAGATCTCTGATGACGACGGCGACGTCGGCGGTGATGGCTATGACAGGGCAGCGGCGGAGAACTTCACGTCAGCGGCGGCAGACTCGACGCTTTGGTTGTTCCAGTGCGAAGGGGAAGGAGAAGAAGGTGTATTGCGCAAGGGGGAGATGTGCAGGGGAGAAGGGGGAGAAGATGCGCCGCAGGGGAGAAAAAGAAAAGGAAGAGGGGAAAGAGAGAATATGGATAAATGAGTAATACAGTCCCATTTAGGGCAAAAAAATATGATTAGTCCTATCAAAAAGTTTCACCAATAATTTAGTCCATTTTAGAACAATATTTCAATATTTATCTAGTCAGGGGCGGATGTCTGTGAGGAAGGGTGGGCTTCAGCCCAGCCCAAATTTATTTTTTTAATTTAGTATAGGTATAGTTTAATTATCGGTCCACCTCAAAATTACTCCCTCCGTTCCTAAAAATTTTTCTCGGTTTGACTTGACACGCTTATTAAGAAAGTGGAATAAAGTGGAAATGTATGGTTGTTGTTGTGTAAGAAAAAGGTAAAATGAATGTGAGCCACACAAATTGTGAAAAATGGGAAAGTGAGAAGTATTTTTGGGAACAACCCAAAAAGGAAAGTGAGAAGTATTTTTGGGAACAGAGGGAGTAAATCCCAACCCACCACAGCCCAAACCTTTCAACTTACCTGCGCCTCCTCTCACGCAAACTGGAAGAACGTGGAGCTCCGGAGTCAGGACTGCGAAGAATAGTAGGAAGGTTGAAGAACGATTGACGAAGACGGAGTGCCGCCTGTGGCTACGACCAAGCGACAAAGACGCGAACTCTAGGGCCCTGTGTCGGCCGTTCTTCCTCTCTCTGGATCCGGCCCTGCCCGCGGACTGCGGCTCTGCGGCCTCTGCCCCCAGCTCCACTGCTCCAGGGATCCGCTCAGTCCAGGTATAATTTAAGTTTTTAACAGTTTAGTCTTTTATATTCTTAATCTATTATTTTGTTAGTCTTTTAGGGTTAGAAAATCAATTTGATTATTTTAGATTATTAATTTAACACTGCTAACAGTACTATTATTCTTACCCTATAATTTTTCGCCTTATAGGGTTAGGGAATCAAATTTGATTATTAATTGAATTTTTCAGTAGATACTAATATAGTGATCATTAATCATAAATTTATTTATAATGATTAAAGAAAGAACTAAAGATTGGAGAATGATTTATTAATTATACAATAAAAGATTAGAGAATGATTTATTTAATGTTTAGATATGTAAGAAATGATTAAAAATCTCAATTCAATTTTAAAATTGGGAATACTTATTAGTTTTATGTATAACGATTGTTTTACCTATTAATTTTATACCTTTAGAAGTATTTTAATTCATATCAATAAATACTAAAATCTTTAATAATCATTAATAAACTTATAAAATCACACTAGAAACGTTGAAATGTTAAGACATTTTCAGTCAAATATGATAAACCTTGATCCATTATTTTAACTAATACTAGTATATTAATGTGAAACTTAATAAATTTATACTTTATATGATAAAATTGCTAACAAAGAACATTTTTGCATCATTTTCACATTATCAATATACTGTATAAATATATAATCATTCAAAGTTTAACTTATTTGACTTGAAAAGTCAAATTTGACTAAATATAGTGGATGGTGGTAGTATACAATTGGTTTCTATAACTAGCGGAGTATGCACTACGTGCGACTTATGCCCAACAAATGATTAAAAACATTTACATGTTCTTTTACTTGATTAGTGTGTGCTAATTTTTAATTTTTTTATTCACATGTCTACATCTACAAACTTTACAAAATGTTTTGAAACTTTTTTGTTAATTTCTTGTGTAAAGAGTAACAATGCGGCCAACACATTAGAAAAGAAAGATAGATGCATTCATTTAGTAAGGGTCATATGTAATTGGAAAATATAAGGAAATAAAAAAGTAAAACAGGGACTATTTTTTTTAGAACCAAGCCTTCGAGAAATTCAAACTATAACTTCTGAATTTGGAAGTTCAATATCTAAGGATTTTTATATCCACTCATAACCTCCTGGGGATCCCCAGTTTCCGAAACACTAAAAACCCAAATTTCAAAATGCTCAGCCACCTCTTAGTAATACAGTCACTTCATAATACTGGAGAGAGAGAGAGAGGGAGAGATTAAAAAAAGAAAGGGGAATAAGAAGATGATTTTAGGATCTCATTTGAACGCAAAGTATGTGTCACAAGGAGCTTTGAAGAGCTGAGTTTCTGGGTAGAGATGAATATTGTTGTTAGAGTTGGGAGCAAGAGGCATGGAGATTGGTCGAAGGCTGCTGCTGCTGCCACTGGCAGTAGTACTCACTCTGATGAGGCAAGAGGCATTATGATCTGAGCTGATGAGGGATGATCGATCTCCTGCAGCATTGCCTCAGGATAGCTGCTCCGGTCTGCATTCCTGTTGTTACCACTTGAAATGAATTTAGGAGCTGACAGAAGAAAAAGAGCACAAAGCTCAGGTACGTATTGTGCCTTCGTTTGAAGAGAACATGGAGTATCACTTGCTTCCTTGATTGAAGAACTCCATGCATGGCCGCTGGTTGCACTGGGCACATATAAGATTATGCTGTTACTTTTTTCTGGCTCCAAAGTTGATTCATCACAGATGTACTCATGTACTTAGCCATTTTTGAGGGGACAAGTTGGCCTTTGCTCACCACAGTCCTAACTTGTTGCCTCTCATCATAAAAGGAAGAAGATGGACGAGTGGAATTAAACTGCTGATGTGGATTACACCGTCTGGCATTGTGATGGTAAAGTGTCCGGCCCCAGCTGCGTTTCGTGTTGCAACTTGCAAGTTGACGGAGAATTGAAAAGAAATTGAAATGTGTACCTTGTTGGAGGAATGGAGCTGCAGCAAATTCGAAGAGGAGGAGATCATGTATGTCGTCATGTCATGTCATCCGCTAATAAATATCGATCTATACTCTTCAATTTTGTTGTCGTTGAACAATTGTAGAATCAAGGAATGCAACGGGTGAAGGGAATAGATGCTTACGAGTCGTTTGAGGTTTGCAAAAACGGTTAAGGTGGCTGTTTGAACGACATGGACGGCAAAGGAATGAATAAGACGGAGTTGGACGGAAAAAGCACCATGTTAACGTTTATTGGCTCTTATTATATAAGCAGAGATTTATAAGTTATCGATATGCTCAAATTCAGATCGAACTGAACACGATCGACTATGCTCGAATTTGGTTTGAATAACTACTCAAACTCAAAATGTAGCATGTGTTTGAGTTCAAAGCTCGTTAGTTAAGCGCGGGTCATTAATTAAATTGGAAATCACGTTTGAACTCGAGTAATTCGAAAAAATCTAAGTTTAATAACAGTCCTAAGCTAAACGGCTAAACCTTTTGTGCGCAGTAGCCAAAAAAAAGTTGCTTAGCCCACCCACCCCTCATTTCTGGATCCGCCCCTGTATCTAGTAGATAAAAATAATACACAATTTGTAAACTATCAAGTGATATAAAAAATCGGCACTAAACACCAATTAAAATATTAAATTATTCTCCTATAAAGTAACGTTAAAATCATATATAAGCACATGTTATATTTAAGATTAAAGTATAATGATTTTAGTTTTTCCAGGTTTATATTTAAATACCCTTTTCATTAGTATTAAAATTCAGAAGGAGACCTTTTCAAACCAGGAACAAAAATGATGAGAAATTTAAAAATAAGCTAAGATCGCAGCATTTTACTCTTCCAAAATATGAGTTAATTACCGTCATTCTGAAATTATACTAGCTTACTTTTGCATCATCAAACATGAAAATGACTATATTATATATTGTCATAATTAATTGGCTATATTTTTCAAACACTCTTGACAATAATTATTTCTATTTAGAGAAAACACAACATTCTTACTTTGAAATTCCATATCTTTTTACTCCTGTTTAGAGAAATTTCTTAAACTTTAGATATTCTAAGATATACACATATCTTATAAATTAACAATACTATATGAATTCTGTCGAAAAAACAATACTGTATGAATTCAACATAATATTAAATCAAACAATAAAAAATATACCCACGTTACCTTATACAAATAAACACACATTTAATTTGATCCAAAGTATATATGCGTGTGGAAATGACTAGTACGTAGACTTTATCTCCTATTTTGCTACATCATTTTAAATAAGATAATGATCTATGTCTCATGTATTACTACATTATTATTTAAGTCGAGTATGAATGCAATTTTAAAAGTAGAAAAATATCTTCATGGAATTTCTCGCGTTTGAACCAAACTAGATTCTCACCCGTGCGATGCACGGGATAAAAAGATTTGATAGCGATATGATATAATTTGTAAATATTACTTGTTCGTGTGTGAATGAATCCAAATTAGTAAAGATGTAATATATATTCAATTATTCATAATAAATTATAATTAAAAAAATGATAATGAGAACTCATAGATTGGTAATAAGTATGCTTTGGAATAATTAGAAATAAATAAATGTTATATAAGATTTCTACAATCTATACATTCTGAAAAACTTCTTTATAAACAACATTGATGATATGGTCAGTTAGCTCGCAAAATTGATGAGGCCACATAATTTTATGAACATTTTGATCAAATTTTTTGTCAAAAAACGTAATTACATATAAATAGGATTTTAATTACATTTTTTGTATACAATATACATACAATACATGTATTTCTTTTAAAACAGTCTTCAAACTTTTCAACTTCCTCATGTTTAAAACTTTTCAAATTATGTTTACAATGGCCCATCCCCTAGGACTGCTAGATTCCCTGCCAGCCACCGAAATGGCCTTTGGAACTGCGTGGTTGATTTCTCGTTAATTTTCTGTAATTGTCTGGAATTTTGGAGGTATCTATCAGTGGTCTGGCAGTCCGTTTGCTTGTGATCATGAAGCTGTAATAAACCCTAATCCAGGATAGTCATATGACTATCTATTTGTAAATGCTCTAACTATCTTGCTATGATATCTCTGGAAACACATTGTGAGTCATTCCTACATGTATTTATTAATTAGGTTAAAATAGGAATTGCAGGTTCAAAGTTTGCCAGCTTCAAAGGCAGGTGTGAATCTCATTACAATATCATTTTATTATTTCAGTATCTCTTATTTGTTGCATATATGTTTGTCTTTTAGGCTAATCATCTAACACTAAAACATGAATATAATTTAATAGAACATTTGATAACTCCAAATCATATATAATAAATGTATTTTTCATTCCTGAAATATTATATATATATATATATTGAATCTAAGGTTTTAAATAAAGGTTTTATAAATTATGCTTCTAGTGTAATATGTGTGTGTGTATACACTCACACACACATTTGTGTATCACACACACACACACATGTTATACGTGTATATACATATATATTACTCGAAATATGCTTAAGCCAATCATATCATACACACACACAAAATATTCTTATGCCAATATACTATGTGGCCTCATTCTAGTGTAATAGGAGTATATATCATACACACACACGTGTATATATTCCTCATTTTCCCAGGTTTTATTTGAAAATAGGATACCTGCAAAAAAAAATAGCCAATCACTAATTAACAAAACTGAACCATTTTAAGCATCAAATTAACAAAGATATATGATTACTTTATAAGGCTCATACATACCTATTCAAAAGGTTGGAATAAAGAGTCATTTCATGGATGTCTGCTTTAGAGTTTTCACCAACCCAAGGCTCTTTGTATTCCTTCTCAGGTTCCTGCCCCGGGATAACACCTGCGAAAACATTGCCTAGTCAACTAAATATCCAAGCATTCTCTATGGACTTTCTAAGACAACAACAACAACATCCAAGCCTTAATCCCATAATTTGGGGTCGGCTAACATGGATCAATCCATGATATCAGTGCTAAGAGAAGAAAGCTAATGATCCCAATTGAATCGATCAAGAAAGTCTCTATGGACTTTCTAAAAAAATAATTAATTAATATTTAGATCATAAAAATAGGATGGAAAAGCTACTTGCCGTTAGAAGATTTGTCAGCACCCTTGGGATGAAGATGTGATCCATAGGACTGAGGAATCTCCAGAAACAAACTGTATTGATTCTAACCTCATCACAGAACCCCATAAACATCAATAGTAAACGATCACATTAGTAGATAAATACATAGGATCAATAACAATATCTCCTGAGAACATATACTAGAAGACTTCAAAGAGAACCAACCTTTCTTATCTGCTTTGGTTGTTCTAAAAGAAGTAGATTCCTATAATTAAATTAAATTCAATTAATGGTATAAGAGATGGTGATTTTTTTACAGATGAAGAAAACAACTCAATTAAAACATCGCTACATAATAAAATCATTAACAAATACAAAGTGATAATACATTGAAACGGCGCAACAATTCACCTGCTTTCACACCATCAATATCATCTTCAACCTTTTCCCTGAAAATATTGACCTAACTTAACATAACTTAACTATGAATAATACTTTTTGTGAATTAATTTGTCCATGCAAGAGAATAATTACGGTTTAGGCAAAACAAGCTTCTGCGCTCTGCGGGGAGGACCTTTCGGAGCAAATCTCACCTATAAGCTCAAAAATAAAGATTTCTAGTATAATCACATAGAATGATACAATAAAATAAAGTATAACTTCAAAATTAGATAAGAATAAAAAAATCAAATTTATTTAAAAAACAATGACATAAAAAAATGCACTTAATCAAATCCTAAATGATTCTGAAACAAATAATGATGACAAGTGTTCAAAATTATCTGCACCAAGGGTACGAGAGTTTAAACCTTCCTGGTTGGTTTAGCTGCAGCTGTGGAAGCTGCCAAAGCTTCTGGATCCATGAAACCTCAATACAGATGGTACTGAAAGAAAGAAAATAAAAATAAAATAAAAAACAAAACAAATAGAAAGGGAAATTTGATTATTAATTATTAAAATAACACTTCGCTTTCATGTTAGGTCATTAAAAATAAGCAGGGCCGAGCCTACTGTTGAGACCAAGAGGCCATGCCTCAGGCCGATAAAATTGGAAAAACTAGGGCGCAAAAATTGTATTTAGTCCTACAGTGTATCTTTATATCCAAATAATGAGAATATGGTTTAAATCCAAATAGAAATCTATTTGGAGCCAAAAGAAGTGAAACTTTGTTGTCTTAATGAAACATTACTTAATTACTCTATAATTGATAACCATCACGGTTCAATTACAAATTTAATTAATAGTTATAAGTTAACAAAAATAAACATCTTTTCTCAAATGCTAATTAGTGTAATTTTTCAGAAAGGATCTTTTATTTTGAAAGTATCTTACAAATTATGATGCTAAACATATCATTAGAAATTTGTATCAACCTTTTTAAACAGTACGAAAGTAAAGTAGAGTTAGGCCCTTCGATCTGCCTTTGGAACAATCACCGAATAATACTCCGATTATGAAAAGAAATTGAAGAGAGAAAAAGTAGAAGATGACTTCAGCTTCCTGATAGAGAAAATTAGCAGAAGAGGACTGCTTTACGGTTACCATTCTAATTATTCTTATCTTGCAGACCAATCATTCGAACAATCGCCATGAGTTTCCTCTTTGGCAAGAAGAAAACTCCAGCAGGTCCGTTCTTGACGCACATAAAGATCTACGTGTTAATATCTAATAATATTTCCAGTGTTCTGTACAACTATGTATGATTTGAGCTTATTCTGCTGGTAGTTTGAAAATTCGGTATCACTGTGCTTATATATGTCAATTGGTCCCAAATCAAGTTATTTTTTATTATTTTTTTTAGAATTCGCAATGGAGCCAAAGATTCATTATTATTTGGCTTGAGATTATGATGGAATAAAGCAAAATGACTCACTAAACTGTCTGCGCTTCTTTGTTATGAAGCAGCAGTCAGTCGATGCATTTTTGGACGCGATTTTCACTATGGGTCATCCGGAAACAGTCTCTCTGTGCTTTAGTAAAGGGGTAAGACTGCGTACATCCGACCCCCCTATACCCCGCCGTAGGTGGGAGCCTTTGCGGCACTGGGGTAAATGAAAATGAATGTCTGGAATTCGCAATTATGGATTGCTTTTTATTAGACGGGAGTTGGGAGTTTAACATTTTGTATGGGTTTAAATTTAATTTGATGGTATACATATTCTCATCTAAAATCCTAAATAAAAGTTAGATTTAGGAATTGCACTCACAAAATGTTGTTTTCAGAGCTTCTGAGGGAGAATAAGCGGATGCTTGATAAGTCAATTAGAGAAATAGAAAGGGAGAGACAAGGTTTACAAACACAAGAGAAGAAACTGATTGCAGAGATAAAGAAAAGTGCAAAGCAAGGGCAGATGGTAGGTTTTCTTACTCCTGTTATGCATTATTACATAGTCTAGACACAATCTGCGTACAGATAAGACCTTCCAAGTCAAGGACAGTTGTGGTTGTATCAATTATTGTTAGTCTTATTACCAATTTACCATTCATATTTGTCGGTTTGGCACCTCCCCTCTTTTGGGGATAAGGCTTGTATGTTGTTGTACATTTATCTCAGGTGACCACATTGATTCCGTATCCTCAATTAATCTCTGGTTGTCATTTTGCAATTACAATGACATAAATATGTGTCTATTCACAGGTTTAATGAGTGTACTACATAACAATGAATAATCATGGTTCTTGTGAAAAAACATTTGAGGCTCAATTTGATTTTTTACTTGTTTTTTATTTTATTAGGGAGCTGTTAAAGTGATGGCAAAGGATCTCATCAGGACAAGGCATCAAGTCGAAAAATTCTATAAGCTTAAATCCCAACTTCAAGGCGTCTCCCTCAGGATTCAGGTAAACATTAACCACCATGTACTCTTTATATTAAGATTTTGAATACTAGTGACACATAAATAGTAGATTTTGTGTGTGTTGTGATAATCAGACTTTGAAATCAACACAAGCAATGGGAGAGGCAATGAAAGGGGTGACCAAGGCAATGGGGACGATGAACAGACAGATGAACTTGCCCGCCCTGCAGAAGATAATGCAAGAATTTGAGATGCAGAATGAGAAAATGGAAATGGTGAGTGAAGTGATGGGAGATGCCATAGACGATGCTTTGGAAGGGGATGAGGAAGAAGAAGAGACCGAAGAGTTGGTCAACCAGGTCCTTGATGAAATTGGAATTGATATGAATCAAGAGGTATTTGTACTTTACTTTTTAAAAAATAGATTTGGTACGTAGTATAGTTTATATCCACCCTGTTTTATCAGCATAATTAAGATGGTAACTTTTTTCTGCATATTGAATTATTTACAGCTCCTCAATGCACCTTCATCTGCTGTAGCAGCACCAGCAGCAAAAACTAAGGTTCCCCAAGCTGAAGCTACAGGAACTGATGACGGCGGAATAGACAGTGATCTACAAGCAAGGTTAGACAATCTGAGGAGGATGTAAATGATAAATATATCTTAAATTTGAAATAAACTACCATGAAAGGAGATGTTTTCCCTTTTGTTAAAGTGTTCAATCAATGAGCTACATCAAAGTTTGGGATTGCTATACTGACCAAACAAGCATTCTTGTAAATGTTTAATTTAAAACTGAATTACCGAAATCTTTTGTTCATGTGGAATGATACTTCGTTTATCTGAAATGAAGTAATTTGAATACTTTTATGTCTACATATTTAATTTTTCTTCTTTTTATTGAATCTTTGAATATGGACTTTGACATGTTAAATAGGTAGCACCTTACAATTTTCAAATGCTTTAAATTGCCATAATGAGAGCAGCAAGTAGTGTCATTAATTAGTTAATAGTGCTATAAGCTAAACAGAGCAGCCTTAATCTATCAAATGGTTACCTTGTGATAAAAAAGTTTTGATCTACAAACACGAGGGAGGTCTAATGGCCTTCCCCCAGATCCTTGGTACAGGAGGTAAATTTTGGGGACCTAAGTGGTCTGCAGGTTTTCCAAGTGTAGTGTACGTGTGGGGGCCCATAACAAGACCAATTTGTAACTTTCTTTGGCAGGAGTTGAACCCTCCCTACATTACATGGTTGCTAGTGAAGCAAGAAAACACATGTAACTTGAATCCTTCGACCATTAGGCTATTACCCGCCCTAGTCAGGATTTGAAGTTCAAATTTTGAAGCCTTGCACTGTGTTACAGACTTGCAGCCAACAAAGCAAGGATAATACCTCTAACAAAGCAAGATATTGTTTTGAGGCTGTTGTTGCTTGTTCTACATGAATGAAGACCTTTGGCTAGTAGAACTTAATAGCCAGGTTAGGCCCCATTTTTAGTGGTCTTATTCTGCTTGATTGTTTATCAACACAAGAATCGGAATAAGTAAGCTTTTGATTTACTAATTTGGTTGAAATGGATATTATCCACCATCATTTTTCCCGAATTAGTTTCAGCCGTGCCAAACAACTATTACCAAACGTGTACTTAGTCGTTTATTACATTAGCTTCTTCACCAGAACTTGTTTACTGTTACCAAACGGGCATTTAGTCCTTTAGCTTCTTCAGTAGAATTTGTTTAAATGAGTTAAGCATTGCCCAAGACTGTTATGCACTGTTATGCCTTGCGGTGTAGTCAATAGCCGACGGTGCCTCTCGTTGGTTACTAGCAGAGGGGAACTCGTCCAAGAAGCATGGAAAGAGTGGAGTTGGTATATGGTGGTACCGGTCCATTATGACCATCATACTCCCAGGGGCAAAACACGGATGAACAGTACCCGCAGATGAACATTAATTTTTTTTTGTGTTTCAGTAGCAGGTTGATGTAACTCACCTTACTCACATTTAAAAAAATGTAACCCACATTAATAGGAAATGTAACATGAGTCAAGTTAGGGATGGACTCTGGTCCGGGCGGGCCGGCGGTTCGGAAATGGTGGACTCGAGACCGGCTCGGGTAACCACCGGGTCCGGTCCGGGTCTGGGCCGGGCCCATTATCATTTTTTTGTTTTCCTCTTCCTAATTAACCCCCCTCCCACCCCCAACCCCCAAACCACCCCAAATGGCCCAAAATACCCAGCCCAACCCGAAAATTTAAAAAAAATTGAAAAAAAAAGAAAAAAAATAGGTTTTGGCCCGAACCGGGCCCGGGCCTTGTTTTGGGTGACCCGAGCCCGGACCGGAAAACCCACGGGCCGGGCCTACCCGGACCAGTCACTGACCGGGCCACTGGGTCGGGCCGTGCCGGAACAGTACCGGTCCCGGGCCATTTCCGGGTCGGGTCACCCGGCCCGAGTCCATCCCTAAGTCAAGTTGATATGTAAGTTGTCTAAAACGGAATGTAAGTTGAAAAACATTGATTTCAATGTAAACAATGAAAAATTAATCATAATTTCCCAATTGGTTTTTATAAATAGTGAATATGTTTTAAAGTTTTAATACTGGGGCTATAAAAATTGATTTAGTTAAAAGAAATTGATCATTAGAAGAGTTTATTTAGTGGTGTAAATCACGTACATTTAAGTGTAATTCTAGAAAAATTGAGATGTAACCATCTTATATATATACATATATACATATAAGAAAAGAGAACAAAATTTTATATATATTATCAACATTGATTTAAATGTAAATAACGAAAAATTGATCCTAATTTTCCAATTACTTTTTTTAAATAGTGATTTTTTTTTAATATTAGGGTTATAAAAAATGATATAGTTAAAAAATCATTTTTTGATCATTAGCAGAGTGTGTTTCATGGTGTAACTCGCGTACATTAAGATATAACTCACGCATAAACAGATTAACTCGCGCATAAAAAGATGTTACTTTATATACTATCCAATATAAACAATGAAGACAAGGAGTCTAATTGCCCAATTAATTTACGTACATAGTGAATATGTTATGTTTTTAATATTAACGCCATAAAAATGTTTAAAAAAAACAATTTTTTTCCAAAAAAAATTGTCTAAACATAACTCACACATATAAGAGAGATAAGAAATATATTATAGGAAAAAATGTATGAATATAAAAAATATATTACAAAAAAGTGTATAACTATAAAAAATATTTATTTTGAAGAATACAAACAAATTGGTTGTAATTTCAGTTGAATAAAAAAAAGAAAAAAAATGTATGAATAAGGACTAAGACAAAAAGAAAAAATAATTAATTTATTTTTGAAAGGATGAAAATTTGGTCACAAAATTGTAATACATACACTTTATAATAAGAAAATCATTTGAAAACATGATAGCTTTTGATAATTAAAACATAAAAGTAAAAAACGTAAAAGAAAAAAACAGGGATGGAGGAGTGTGGGTGACTTGGAGGGAGAGCACTTTTGATAAAGAAACAAATAATAGTAAAAAACGAAGAAGAACAAAAAAACTAGGGTGAGAAAGTGTAAGTGTGCAAAATTAAATGAAGTTTGTTACAAAAAACGGTACCATATTTGAACTAGGCATACCTTTCGCATGGTATGCCGGTCATACGGTATAATTTGCGGAAAGAGTGCGTGCATTTGGGCAACTTCATCACCACCTCATCTCTTTGGAGACAAACAAGCGAACCACATGCTTTGGAACCTCAACATCTCTCTCTTCACTACATTACAAAAAATCTCTTACTCTTTATAGTGTACAATAAATCTATAACATTTACTTAAAGTATGTGAATATTGGAACACTTGCTCTAATAGGAAGGGAGTGACAAATAAGAAATTGCAGAAACAAATGATTATTTTGTTAAGGTTAAATGGATGATAGGATCTATTGGTTTTTGAATTTCGATCTGAAAATCTTTGAGTAGTGATTTCAACCATGTGATCTCACAACTGGTATAAGCCATTGATCTATACTCTGCTTCTGTTCATGATCTGCTCACGGTTTGTTGTTTCTTTGACTTCCAACTGACAAGTGAGTTTCCTATTAGGATACAATATCCAGTTACTGATTTCCTGGTGTATGGACAACCAGCATAATCTGAGTCACAATAGGCTTTCATCTCCAGATTTTCATCTGAGCTATAGTACAAGCCATGGCCTATATTATTTTTCACATACCTACCAATTGTTAGCAGTGCCTTCATACAAGTTCTTGTGGGGGTTTCCATGAATTGACTCATTATTCCAACTCCATATGAAATGTTAGATCTTGTAATAGTTAAGTAAATCAATTTTCCAATCACTTTTCCATAAAGTGTAGGATTTTTGAGGAGCTCCTCTTGAGTTCCTTCTTCAAATTGTTTGAATTTATGATTCTGAATTATTGGATTCATAGCTGGTTTACAACCTAATAAATTAGTCTATTTAAGTATCTCTGATGCATACTTTCTCTGCGAAATATGTATTCCTATGTTGGAGTTTCTTGCTATTTTTAGACCAAGAAAGTATTTTAACTTTCCTAGATCTCGAATTTTGAACTTATCTTGAAGTTCTTTCTTCACATAATTGATTTTTACTTGATCATCTCCGGCTATGATAATATCATCGACATATACTAATAGAAAAATGACTTTGCCATTTTCTTTTCGGATAAAGAGTGAATATTCACTTTTGGATTGTCTGAAACCTATGGTTTTCAGAAAATGAGTGAACGTTTCGTTCCATTGCCTACTGGCCTGTTTTAGACCATATAGGGACTTTTTAAGTTTGCATGTAAATATGGTGTTTTTCTCCCCCTGAATTGAAAGACCTGGAGGTAAAGACATATAGATGTCTTCTTCAAGATCACCATTTAAAAATGCATTATGGACATCAAGTTGTTCCAAATGCCAATTGTGTTTTGCAGCTAATGCTAATAGCACTTTAACAGAAGTTAACTTTGCAACTGGACTGAATGTCTTAGTATAATCTAAGCCAAATTGTTGAGTGTAACCTTTAGCTATTGGCTTGATGTCATCAGAAATAGGAACTATGTCACATTTATTATTATCCTTTAGAGCTTTCAATTCTTCATTTATAGCCTTCTTCCATAGAGGGTCTAAAATAGCTTGTTGATATGTTTCTGGCTCATTTAAAGACGATAAAGTGACTGAATAACAATGTTGTTGTTCAGATAATTTGTCATATCCCAAAAAATGAGATAGAGGATACACAGTTTTAAAACTATTGTGATAAATTGAGTTAGATCTTGGTACTTTATAATGATGAAAATGTTTCAAATGCGAGGGTGTCTTGGCCTCTCTTTGTGATCTCCTTAACTGAGTATTACCGGTTGTCATTTCTTCGGAATCACTTTCATAATTGGAGGGTATCTTGACCTCTTCTTGTGATCTCTTTGATTGAGTATCACTTGATGTGTTTCCTTCAGAATCACTTATATAATGACATGAATCTTCATTCTCATTTTGTCTAGAATCATGATGTTCTTCTTGAGATATATTCATGTCCTCTTCTTGAAATGTTTCTGAACTTATAGGTCTCATTCTTCATCAAACTCTTGAAAAGAATATGGTGAATCAAAGCCATTGCTCATATTTGGAGTCATCAAAAATTTTGTTGTGATATTAGGTAATGAACCTGGTGAGTAAACTATTTTGTTACTTGTTTCTTGCTCCTTGTCAAAAGGAAAAACATTTTCTGCAAATATTACATCTCTTGAGATGAAAATTGTTTTTGTTTTAAGGTCATAACACTTATATCCCTTGATATGTGCTGGATAACCGATAAAAACACTTTTTCTTGACCTTGAGTCAAACTTCTTTCTT